ACTGGGTACGTACACGTAAGTTAAGTATGCCAAGCTGGCGATCTATTAGAAGATATGCTAAAAGCCCGCGCCAAGCCGAAGACCAAAGTGAGTGGCTGCCAATCGACCGCCTGGCAAACACTTCTGTTAATGACACTCGTCTTGCGGCTCCTTGGCCAGTGTTAATTTGCGGTCATTAGCCAGAATCTGCCGCTTGGGCTCCAGCTGGACTGGAATCTTTTGCTGCGACTCCTTCGCGACTCATTCAATTTGCGGACTCAGTCTGCGCGTATTCTTTGCTCTGTGGCTGCTTTTCTCTGCGGGTAAAAGGCTTTCCACGCACAATGGGTTGTTAGCCACAATGGGCTTTTGTTAACGGTTAAATTACACTTGATGCCGCCGCTTAGGCTAATGATGCGCTTGGGAATCGGGCGAATACAAATGCTAATTCATTTGCACTTTGCACCCGCCAGCCGAGCAGCGAGCGACTGATTCGGCTGATTTATTTATGCAAAAATGAAGCCGTCCGAGGTGCAGGCAACACAATAAATTACGGCCACAAAAGTGAATGTTAACAATGGCGAAATGGGTCAGAGTCGATCGGTTACGCTCGCGCTGCCCGGGAATTTCGCAGGTGCCTGCTGCGGCGACTTAATCGGCAAATTAAAGCCCGCCGATGATATATTAAGTGGCTCTTTAGGACCTGCTAAAATGCCCCAGCCCGCCCCCCGAAAAGTTGGCATTGCTAACCCAATTTCCCGCCGCTGGTAAGGGAAGCTGCGTGCGATTCGAATTTCCATTTCCTTTAGTCGCCATTGGCCAGCTCACACACAGGCACACACGCACACCTGCCGAGCGGGCCAACAAATTTCACTTATTGCCAATTTGCTGGCAATGAAATAAAATACTTTTCTTCCGCGACGCGCCTGTTTGTTGCCGATAGCCAAAAACCTGACCACGGACGCTGGACTCCGCGAGTTGGAGTGCAGCAGGGGAATCCCCATCCCCATCCTCCATCACCATCCTCCATCACCATCCAAATTGAACGGCAGCCAGCGCGGCTCTGCAATAAATAAATTGCGAAATTTATTTGGCGGCACTTACGCGTCGCTTTTTTCATCGACTGCATTTTCCATAGTGATTTATTTGCATCGATTGGCGGGCGCGGGGCATCGGGCAGATGATCCAGCCGCGGTAAATAGATGGCTAGAAAATATCAATAAAAAACTAAAATATTCTAGGTTATGGCCAGTGCCAGAGATGCGAATGCGAATGCAAGTGCTTATGCAGTGACTGCAGTTAGTGACAGCAACTTGAGTGCTGCTTACTTTAAATAAATGAGAGATTACTGTAATTGTATTTATACGTGAATGTAATATGTGAAATTAAATGGTTAAATCTATATGAGCCACTAACTTTTGCCTTTACAGCATATGAAGCAGCGCACTTGCCGAGTCAAAATATTAGGAGCTGCCAAAAAAAGAGCTTGGCTTAGGCCAAGTTACTTTAAATGAACTGCTGCTTAATGCCTGTCCCACATAAGCAGTTGACTTGGCCAAGTGCTGGAGGGGGCAGCATCTCCGATTCCACTCGGAACAGCTTCCAGCTGCTTTTCCGCGAATCTCTCTCGACTGGTGTGTGTCCGTCTGGCTTACGGGTCCCGCCAAGATGCGTCGGCCTTTCAGGCATTTTCAATTGATTTTCAAATTTATCAAACAGGAAGCATCTCTGGCTACGCCAGAACTGCGAGCGAGAACTCGCAGCAGGCTGGGGCTCATAGCCTGGCTCTGGATTTGGCATTAGCTCGTTCTGCAGATGCGGCTCGCGCTGCGTGTCCATTTAACGGCATCTTGTGGCGCAGAATTGGCCAGCTCATCGTATCGGCCAGATGGCTAAGGCCAACTGAGCAAGCCAAGCCAGCCAAGCCAGCCAAGCATCCAACAAGCCAAAGTGTTTCTGTCGCCGCTGATAGATGCGGCGGTTCCGATTCGAATGGGATCAATTCTGCTTGTGTGGATGGAGAGCTGGCTGACAATTTGTCAATTACTCGCCCAGCTTTGCTTTGCTAATTTAACTGCTGTTTTAATTAGTCACCGCGCCTCCGGAGCAACAGCCTTAAGTGGCTGGCTTTGGGTTTCGGTAGGGGTCTGCGCGTTATTAATGGCCGGCTTTTAGTAGACGATTCGTTGGCCGAGTGGCAGGTGACAGGTAGCAGCATTAAGTCCCCTTGCGTTTCTGGTGACTTTCTGTGTCACAAATCACCTACCAGCATCTATCATTTGAAAGCGTTCCGAAAATTGTACTTACATTCCTAGTATTTATACTACCATAAAATACTTATTCATTTCCATTACTTGAAATATTAAATATTTGAAAATGACAAAAGCTTACTTGAAAACTACACATATTTCATAGCCTACGGCTCACTCTGTTGTGAAACTCAATATTTCCCTCTGCTATGACTAAAAATTATATTTTTAAGTTAGTAATCCCTTTCTCCTTTATTTTTTTTAGGAAGCATTAATTTAATTAACAAGTTAACTTCCGCAAACATTTCCGTTAACAGAAGTTGAACAGCTCTGTCTGTTGTACAGGTGTCGCCGCTACTTCGTTAAGTTCATTAAGCCAATGCACCAACCAATGTAGTTCGAAACTATGCTATACGTAAGTGTACATAAGTAAAAACATTTGTAGTCTACATGTAAAATTAGTATATATTAATTTCCTGCTGCCAATTGCCGTTAGGTGGCGTCGTATTTTGTATTGAAAACATTTTTACAAGTTTTAGAATATAATGGAAGATTTTTCGAACACTAAAAACTTAGGAAAATATGTATGTAGTTTGTTATCTTTTATAACAACTAACTTTTGAAGGGTATATATTTTTTTTTTATTAAAAGCTCGTTGTTTAAGAAGGAAAAACTAATAATTTTGATAAATTTTTAATATTTAGCTGAGTAAGGGGTATCTGATAGTCGGGGAACTGGACTATAGCATTCTCTCTTGTTTCGTTTTCAATTTTCAAAATTTAAAAAATTTGTTAAGTTTGGTAAATTATGAAATAATAGTTAATTGATATATATGGTATACTATCATAAAAACTCCCAATACAAATGTGTAATAGTTCAAGGGAGTGCGTTATTCTTGATTACAGCATTTCTTGGGAAGCATTGTCTGCTGTCTAATAAGTCCGCTGTGAAAGCGATAAGAAGCTGCTCTAGGGTATAAAAAGCGTTGAGCTCTGCAGTAAATTCATACTTGTAATTAAAATCTCGAAAGATGAAGTTCTTGGTGAGTTTAACAGATTGACAAGTTGTAATGATTTTATTTGACTCAAACTAAATTTCACCAGGCTGTTTTCTCCGCCGTTTTGGCCGTTGTCCTGATGACTGCCGTTCCAGTTTTCGGTATTTCGGTGCCGCAGTGCGATCCCACAACCGTCGACGCCGCTCAAGGCGGTAGCTACCCCATCATACAATTGGGGAATAATTTAAAATTTCCTTTTGGAGGATTTATCACGAAAACATAATAATTAACTTCAAATGAAAATAATAAAGCGCTTCTCAGAAAAAACTGTACCTTTTTTTTATATTCTAAGAAGAAATGCACAAATCAAAACCCAAGGGCGGTGACATCTCGGGAAGTGTGAAAGCTACAAAGTTAATGTTAAGCATAACATTAATAGCTATGTAATAGGTATATGGTAGTCGAGAAACTCAGCTGAGCGTTCACGCTTGTTTTTTTATACATATTAATGGTATTGCTGATGCTCGTTCTTTGTCTCTATGGGTGAACTATTGGCGAACTACATGTAATAACATGCAGTTGGTTAAAAAATATGCCCATTTGAACTTTAACTTTTCAGTTTTCCTGAGGTAGCAGCAGCTATTAAGTCCCTTTACGTTTCTGGTGACATTCCGTGGCACAAGTCACCTACCGTCAAAGCAATCTGAAAATTGTAATTATATTCTTTATATTTATACTACCATAAAATTATATTTCATCAACATTTCCATTGCTAGTATTTTTCGGTCGCATAAATCTTTGAAAATAGAAAATAGCTTTCCTGAAAAATGTATAGCTTCAGGTTTACTCTTTCTGAGAGTAGTCAAAGTCCTTCGAAACTGCGTCTTTTCCTCTGCTTTGGTTAAAAATATTTTAATAAGTAATTAGTCGCTTTCTCCCTTAAATTTCGTTAAGAAGCACCACTTTAGTTAATAAGTTCATTTCCGCAAAAACATAGCAAAAGTTGAACGTTTCGGTAAGTTTTACAGGTGACGCTGCTACTTCGTTCATTAGGCGAGCATACCAACCAATGTAGTTCGAAACCTTGCTAAATGTGAATGTTACATTTGTAGTCTACATGTAACATTAATATATAATAATTCCCTGCTGCCAATTGCCGCTAGGTGGAGCCGTATTTTGTATTGAAAACATTTTTACAAGTTTTTGACTATAATGGTAGATTTTCTAACCCTAAAAGGTTAGACAAAAAAATAGTTTGCTATTTTTTAAAACACATACCTTTTACGGGGTAGGTCATATTTTTGATTGAAAGCTCGTCGTTTACAAGGAAAAATCATTACGACTTAGGATATCTTCAGTTTATAAAAACTAAAAATATAACACAGAGGCGATCTTTTTGTTTTCAACTTCGTTTCGCCGACGGCAACAATAAATAAATTCTCACATATTAAATATAAGCGGCAGGCTTGCGTTGGCATGATATTAAGAAATCCGCCCTTTATTAAGAAATTTGTTAAGTTTGGTAAATTATGAAATAATAGTTAATTGATATACGTATATCAATAAGCGGCAAATGTGTAACTGTCTAATAGTTCAAGGGAATGCGGTGTTCTTGATTACAGCATTTCTTGGGAAGCATTGATTATGTTTTTTCCACAGAGGAACAAGATGATCCAGCTAACAATTATCGCAGATTTAGCGTGTAATAAGTCTGCTGTGAAAGCGATAAGAAGCTGCTCTAGGGTATAAAAAGCGTTGAGCTCTGCAGTAAATTCATACTTGTAATTGAAATCTCGAAAGATGAAGTTCTTGGTGAGTTTAACATATAGACTGTGACATATTAAATGATTTCATTTAACGCAAACCACATTTCACCAGGCTGTTCTATCCGCCGTTTTGGCCGTTGTCCTGATGACTGCCGTTCCAGTTTTTGGTACTTCGGTGCCGCAGTGCGAACCCACAGCCGTCGACGCCGCTCAAGGCGGTAGCTACCCAATCATACAGCTGGGGAATAAGGTACACTATCCTCCTGGAAGAAGAATGAGGATCTGATCACGAAAACAAAATAATTAACTTCAAGTGAAAATAATAAAGTGCTTCTCAGAAAAAACTGTAGTTATTTTTTATTTGGTAAAAAGCAGTGCGAAAGCCACAAAGTTGACGTTAAGCATACAATTTAAAGTTGTAGTCCTTCGCTTCTCTCGAGCTGAGTAATAGGCATCTGTTAGTCGAGAAACTCAACTGAGCGTTCACGCTTGTATTTTGTTATACATATTTATGGTTTTGCTGATGCTCGTTCTTTGTCTCCATTGGCGATCAACTATGTCGCTTCAACAAATAGGCCCATTTGAACCTTAGCTTTTCAGTTTTCCCGAATCCATGTAAGCTACAATTTTCCCTGAAGCCCGCATGGCAAGAGCACAAATTGCGGATAGGATCCTGCTGACTGGAATAGACGACAGGCATGGTAGAATAGACACGCATCCTAATCTGAGCCGCGCGTGTAAAACATCATCTGGCACCGCGAGCTGACATGCAAATTAAAAAGCATATGCTTTGACTCCTAATCACAAAGCACTTTCATTCAGTGACTGCTCCACCCCGCCTCGTCCTTTTCTGCCCAGCTCGCTTGATGGGTGACTCTTTTCTTCCGCCTGTCAGACGTTGCTGCCGTCGCCTTGTCCGCGCTCACATCCGCGCACACATCCGCGCTCCGCGTCCTGCTCCGCCGCCTGACGTTGACATTGATGTTGGCTGTTAGCTGTTGGCTCTGTTGCTGTTGCTGTTGCTGTTGCCTCTTTGAATGTGTTGCCTGGCTGGTTGCCTGTGCTGGGTGGTGGCTGATGCGAGTGGCTGCCATTTGGGCGCGTGATGGATTTCTGCAGCACTCCGAGTCGAAATCCAGCGACTCCGACAGCTCGGCGCACAGCTACGCCCGAAATGGCGCAAAAAGCGAAATCCCCCCAAATGATTAATGACTTTTCAAGTGACTGGCAACAAAACCAAGTCACCAGTCACATAACGAGCCTCAGCAAGGATCAAAAAATTGTGGCTGCACTGTGGGAAATCCAGCTCCAAGTAATCCGAAAGCATAATGCATGATGCATTGACATTTAAATCAGTTTGTAAGTAGACATCTATTACGCTGAATTTAAGCAAATCGAAAATAAAACATTTTTAGTGCAATGAGAATGAGAAAGAATATGAAATTTATCAAAATATTACGTTTCACATATCTCATTCGTTTCTCAAAGTGTATTGGCGCGCATAGTGGGCGTCTCAGAAGAGAGCCACAAATTAGTCTCAGCAAACGAGGACGCGACTCCTAGACTCCGACTCTGACCCCAGATCCGTCTCAGAGGATGCTCCCCCTGCTCCTGACACATCCCACTTCCACTACCACTGCCACTTCCACATCCAGAGACCTCCTCCGCTGCTCCGGGCTGCTCGTCTATCTTTGACATCACTCTGGCTGAGTGATGGCGCTGCGTGTGTGGGGTCCTTGTCATTGGGATTAATGATTTAAATGCGGGGGAGGGGTCTCCTCTTCGCTGGCTGACTCGCACTGTTGTCGTGTCATTAACCAACACTCTGCTTGCCATTTTCACCTGCAGCTGCAGTAATTTTTCAACACTGAGCCAGTGGGATGGCATCGTTAATTGCAGGCAAACGTCAAAAGTCGTCTGTCAGTCCCGAAACCCCCAGTCCTGCGACCTCCTGGAGTCTCCCCGCATCGAGCATCAAGCATCAAGCATCAAGCATCAAACATGAAGCTGAAGCCTGGCTTCTCGTCCACGTCCACATCCACGTCAGAAGCTGTCAGGCTCACAAAAGTATACATCACGGGCAAAAGTCCCAGTTCCCGGTTACCAGTTCCCGGTTACCAATCTCAATCCCCCTGCTTTCAGACGGAGTCCAGGCCTGGTCATGGTCGATAGTTGGCTGTTGCTGTTGCAAAAGATTGATGTGTGCTGTACGACGTCGGCAGGCAAAACGGAAAATAAATGATGTTGGTGATTATTTTTCTTCATTGAGCGGCAGTCACTGCTGCCTGTTCGCTTTGCCGTTGTTTCAACAGCCATTTTGGCCATCAATCTCGTAGAAGCATCGGGCGGACCGACCCAGCGGGCGTATTCGAGGTGGCCATCAGCTGGCGGACAGGGGTTTGCTTGGCAGAAGGGGCTGCACTCGCACTCGCACTCGCACTCGCTTATTCATTCATTCATTCATTCATACGCAGCACATTTAGACAATCTATCAAGTTGGCCCGACTCGAACTGGCTCAAATGGGTGGTAAGTGGGAGGCGGACAGGAACAAGAGAACCTGGCGTCGGGCACCGAGGATCGGTGTTTATTACAATGCACCAATTACATATTTCGGCTCTTCTTGCAATTAAATAAAACAAATTGAATTCTAAACCACTGTGGCCTGCTAATATGCCTACTACTCCGTTTATGCCAATAGCACCAGCATTTATTTCCCAAACATCCATGAGTACATACATATCTCCATCCATTACGCTGTCACTCTTCCCAGCCAGGACATTACCACAATAACGCCCACAACTCTCGGAGCAGCTGCAGCTCTCCTTCTGGAACGAGCTGGGATAAAAAGTGCAATATCATCAATTACTCGACAAATTTAGTGCCAGAAGACCAAGTCGCTGGTCGGTTGGCGAGGCTGCGGGGCTGCGGGGCGAAATGGGCGAAATGGGCGAGCAGTCAGAGGGCAGAGGTCGGGAAAACGAAATGTCCGGATGCAAACAATAAAATACATTTTCCGGTTACTTGTCACCCACTTTTCTATCGGGGCCGCCTTCGTCTTGACCCGCCGGAGAGGAAAATCCCTTTCTGGGTCTGAAAAGAAGTTGACACATGCTGCCGCCATCGCTCCACTTCCACTTTCCTTTCCCGGCAGCTCCTGCACAGCTGCAAGTTCTCCGACTTGCTCCGGGAAACTCCTCGGCAATTGCCAACAAAGCATTTCACTTTTTCGGTGGGAAAGCACTCCTCTGCTGTTGTTGTCGTCCAAAGTCATGTCGACAATAGCTTTAGCTTTGCTTTTGACACTTGGTAAATGGCGCCCGCCCGCTGAGCGACTGCAGCTTACATTTTGCCCAGCTTCCAGCTTCCTTGTTCCTTATTCCTCCACTGCCTTCGACTGCCGACATCCTGCGGCCTCCTTGTGGGCGCCCGGTGGGCGTGGCCGGGTCACTTGTTTACCGCTCCACTTACGCGTCGCTCTCGAGAAATGCTGGACTCTCTTCCGGCCACTCCTCATCCCTCTTGCTGGAGGTTGTCCGTCCTAGATGCACTGAACACAAATGTCGCATGCCTGAATTCTGCGAAACTCTGCGATCAATACTAAGAAAATCTATCATACAAAGAAAATATATATTGCACTCAGATTAACTCACTTGTGAAGCGACATCCCTCCTCTTTGCGATTACAATTATGGAGATTACTTTCTTCAATTTGAATCAACGTTATATTTCAAGATTGATATTTTTATTTTGTGTTGTGTTAAAAGTACTGACCAATTGGTTGCCTCCAGTTCGAGAGATCATCACTGAGAGATGGGTTCAGTTCCAATTTCCGGTTGCGATTGCACTTCCGTTGTTTTCTGTGCATGACACTGCTCTAGATCGCACTGCAAACACCCCCTGCATTTTAAATATAAATTGTGCCAAAGTGCAAAGTGCAGGGCACTGAGGGCGCCGCTGTGAACTCTGGGGGGCGCCCGCCCATTCTCCACCACTAACTTCATTGCCCTTCATCACCCAGACTGCAGATAATAATTTATCAAGTGCGTGTCGGGATGCCTGACACAAGATTTGTTGCTGTTGCTCTGGGATATGTCAAGTCGGGATGCCAATCGACGACAGTGCGAGTGACAGACGGGAGTGAAGTATTGGATCAGGTTGTCGGCAGTCGATAGGACAATCAGGGAAAGGACATTCGCAGGGATCCAAAGCCAAGCGGAAATTGATATTACAGGCGCTGCAGCAAGGAAATTTGTATTACAAAAAATGTCTATCCTAAAACACAAGTTACTAAGTCTTACCATAATAGAATAATTGCAAATCACTGGGTGTGTAACATGGACGAGCATGTCACTGCTCGAAATCTTATAAAAACCATAACATAATTATGTGCACATGTACAATATAATTTACGATATCATTTCGTCGCTTCCAAAGGTTCGAAAGTTTCTCTTTCCGTCGTGCTCCCATTTCGAAGGGAAAAGCGAAAATATTGGCCAGCATAAATCTTGACGGCCAAGTAGTAAATTTTCATTTTCACACCTTTCAACACTTTTCACGCTAACACGACCAGAAGGAACATTTTGCTGTCAAAAATAAAAGGCAGACAAGCAAAGAGGCAAAGAGATTCGACCTCTGATCCCCCCCTTCCACAATCTCCTTCCCCCTGACAAGCTACACAAATACTGTCATATACAGCGGGAAAGGACCTGGAGAAAGTAGTGGACGAGCAGCAGAGAGCAGTCCGAGCAAGGAGCATCCGAGGAGTTTGGCCAGGAAGAGCGGAGCAGACAAAGTGCCTCTGAGCGTAAATAAATTGGAAATGTCCTTTGCCCTGGCAGTGCCCCCATCAGCTACGAAGAGGGGGGAGTTCGAAAGTGCACTGCAAAAAGGATTACTTCATTCACTGAAAAGATCATTTTTAAAAAATTAAAAATATCTGCAGAATCCTTTTCTTTTAAAACCAGTTAAATAATTTCTGTATATATGATTTAATTCCAATGATTTAAGTTCCAACTAGAGACTGTCTGCAAAATGGGAATGCCCCTTTTTTAGAGTGTGTGCCTCCAAACGAAGGTCCTTGCTGGCATTGCAATGCGTCGGACATTGGGCGAAGGCGATGCTTCCATTTTAATATTAATTTTACCCCAAAGCAGCAGACGGGGCCCGGACACAGAAAAGTTATTGCCAGCGCCGAGACAGAGGCAGAGGCAGTAATCATGGGGCAAGGTCCTGGGCACGGCAGTATCCGTCCTGCAGGTCTCGCCCCCACGCTCCTCTTGGCGCTCC